CTCTATTCATGGTTGTTGGTATGTTTCAGTTGACTGTAATCCATCTCATTGGTGATTTTCCTAATTTTTGCTGACCTTCTGAATTTCATAATTTCTAGTTTTCTTGATGACATTTCCAAAGAAAGCAAGTCAAAGTATTTCCTTTCTTTTAAGTATGTCTTCTATGACTAATTTGCTTGTTTCTCTAGCAGTTCATGGAATATTCATTACTCTTTATCAATAACACAATTTGAAAATACCAATTTTTATCTGCCTTCCTTTTTCAATATCCAGATACATGTAGATGTAAATATTTTGTTTGTTTGTTAAGTGTTATGGAGTCACTTCTGACTCATACTGACCCTATATATGGTTTCCAAGAGCAACTGGTGGGTTTGAACCGTTGTTTGAACTGCTTATCCTACAGGTCCATAGATGACAGGAAAGTTGATCAAACCTAACATGTTGGCTACATAAAGCCTGGGTTGAAAACATTGAGCAGATATAGAGAAAGAATGCAATTTGGTGCAATTAGGAAGTCTTCTGGAGTATAAAAACAGAATAAATAGCATAAGAGGACATTTAGAAAGAGCTGTTGATGAGATATTTGACAAATATTACAGGAAATACAGAAAAACAATCATATGTCAAGGACAAATATAAACCTCCACATGAAGAAATGCAATCGTAACATACTCTCTAGCTATTCAGGAAACAATATTTACATGATCACAATCAAATCAGCAACGATTTGTGATTTAACTGGAAACCAGTATACTAAGGTTTATGAATGATGAAGAGGAGGATATGAGGTGGTAGAAATAAATACTGTTGTCATTTCTCCTCACCCACTCCTCACCTGTTGACATGGCTAGATTTCCAAGCTAAATAATTATGTGAAACTTGGTGCTATGCCAAAATAGAGGAGAGTCATATTAGATTACAAAATGCAAGATGAATACATCATCACGTAACATGCCATTGAGAATCATGCCTCAGACAAGTTGACAAATAACCTTAACCATCACAGCTAACATTTCTCTCTCCTTATATCTTCACATTTTTTACTACCAGATGTGTACTGTTAATGTACAAAATAGTCAGCTAGCAGATTTTTTGCCATTTTATAAACACAGAATGTGAAACACAGAGTCAGTGAGTGGGAGTAGGTATCTTAGAAGTTGAATGATAATGTCCAAAAATGAAAGCTCAGTTTCAAAAGAACATTAAGACAAAAACAAAACAAAACAAAAAAACAAACACCTAACTCTTGGATCAATCTACTAAAATGGTTGAAATTGTGTTCTTTTGTAGTGAAGCAACATGGTCTGCTCAAGAACAATTTACTAAAATTTCCTTCTCTTAGTTTATTTCCATCTTTACCACCAGCATTGTCTTTATCTCAACAGTCATTATTCTGTATGGTCCTTAATTTTGTCCAAGAAAAAGTGGTGAACAGAAGTGGAAGAAATCAGTCTAAGAAAACAGTGAATGAAAAAAAAAAAATTTCCAAGGTTTACCTGTACATGAGCATAATGGAAGTTTCCAACCTGTAATAAATTTTAATGTAGTCAATCTGGTCTTGAATTCAGCTGCTAATTTGTTTTCACGTTTTTTTTGGCATTCCATTAGATTATCATGCATACTATGTCAATTTTGAAACGCTGGAGACTCTCATTTTCCATCAAGTCAAAAGAGAGAGCATATGTCTTCTCTATTATTCCTAAAATGAAATTACTTCACAGTTTATTGCAGAACTATATACACATACACACATATTTGTACATTTGTAGATTTTTTTTGCTATTTTAATTTTCTTAGAATTTCCTTAAAAAAGGAATTTATTTTTGACCAAAGATGAAGGAAGTAATTAATATAGGTTTAGCCATATGTTTTATTTTCCCATAGCTATATCTCAGGTCATTTTAAATCCACATATACACAATGCTTTCACAATGGTTTCTGTTGGCTTCAACAAATCACACTCTCTACCAATACCCCCTGTGAGACAGAGAAGAATGAAACTTGTTCATAGATTCCCTGTAGCATACCACCACCATTGATCCATGGTTTTAAGGGCTTTAGTCATTAATTTCCTCTCACCAATGAAGAGACCCATTGCTCAGTGTGTTTAGATTCTTATGGCTGCCTACTGTGACTTCAGTTCTTAATCTGGCTGAAAGTGTCAAAAGTCACGCTACTGCTTGGAGGGAGAGTGCTTTTTTTTTTTTTTTTTTTAAAGCCTGCTACTGAGAGTGATGCTTTTCTTAGTACTATGAAACCCATGGAAATGGAAAGAGCTCTGAATTACATTTATTCTGTTCAGTCTTGAATAAATAACCTCTATTGTTCATCTCAGGCAGTGTTTCGTTCTGTTGTGCATAAGGTAAAGATGAGTCCATACTGACTCGATGGCACCTAAAATAACAACAACAATTGTTCATCTACATATGTCAAAGAATGTTTTAGCAATCCATATTCACTTAAGGAACTCCAATATAGGTAGTATGTTTACAAAATTTGCATGATAATTCCCTGTATCACCAATGTCTAAATATAGATAAAAATTTTTAGTTCTATTAATAAAAGAAACAAGTTCAATATTTTTGACTGAATTTTAAAGCTTGAGGTAACTGTCTATTAACAAAATGAATATATAAACAGTATTTTATTTTAGACAAATGAGTCAAATGTATTAAAAAGCACACTATATATAAAGATGCTTAACCTCATTGTGTGGTGATTATGTGCCACCAAGTCGGTTCTGATTCATAGTGACCTTTATGGAAAGATTCATAAATCTTTATGGAAGCAGAAAGCTTCATATTTCTCCTGTGGAGTGAATGGTAGATTTGAACTACTGACTTTGTGGTTAGCAACCCAGCTCAAAATCCACTACATTACCAGGGTTCCTTTTAACCTGACAGATGAAGAAATAAATACAAACTAGAATATCAATAAATTATCAACTTTCACTTTCTAATTTTGTTATTCTAATATTGTTATTCAAAATCAAATTTCACTTAATAGTTAAAGTAGTTCTGGCAGGATGATAAATCAGTTCATTCATTTTAGAAGGTTAATAGTCAATAGTAACTTAAAACCAGTAACATGTATCTCTCTTTGGACACATTAATCCTACTTTTGGGTATGTATTTTATGGTGTTAACAAAAAATATGAAATTATCAATATAAGCAAATATCCATCCCAGTATTATTTCTAATTTATGAAAACTGTCCCACAAAATGGAGTTAATTAAATTACTAAAAACTACATTATATATTACATAGTAATTAAATTTTTTCAATAAAAGGTAAATTTTTATGCTCTGATACATATGTGAAAAGTTCAATCTTGAATATGGTTGATATCAATTGAGCTAAAGGAGGTTCACATGGTTTATATGTGGATAATGGGTTAATGTACTCCTGGTGTGGTGATGTAGCTGTAGAATAAGGTCCCCCTTTGGAAACTTATAGAAGGCCACTATGCGTCCAAACCAACTCAAGGGCACTTAACAACAACAGGGACCAGTGAGAGTGAGGGTAGATAGCGAAATGCCTATTTGCATATGTGAACTTTTATTGGTCAGAACTCTTTTGGATGCTATGTTTGGTGGATTTTAGAGTTGTTTCCAGAATAAAGAAAACACTACACAACCAAATCTCTTAGCAAGAATAGGATACAAGCAGTATAAGGATGGAAGGAAGACCCAACTTCCAATCTATTCATCTCTTAGATTGTTGACTTCATGTTCTCGTTTTGTATGCACAATTTTATACACAAAAGGCATCATTACCCTAATAGTGCTGTGTTAGTATATGACTGTACCTACTTTCACATGGAGTCCTGGTGTGGTGCTGTGGGTTATTGCACCAGACTGCAAAGCTGTGTGAACTGCAAGGTTGTGGTTTAAGATCACCAGCTGCTCTTTGGAAAACCTACACAGGGCCGCTATGGGTCAGGATCAACTCGATGGGCACTTAATAACAACAACAAACCTTCACATAGGAAAGAGATTTTTCTAGGAAAAAAAAAGAAAAAATCTCTGACTGAATTGGTTTACATCATAAATATAAAATGGAGCAATACTAAAATTTTACTTTCTAAAAACAAAAGGGAGCAGATGCATGATCATTGAGGGAATCATTGTCATTGTATCACAGATGCCAGTGCATTTTGTGGATCCTAGAATATGATTTTTGTTTTTATTAAGTCCTATCAGTTGGTTCTGACTCCTAGTGACCCTACTTAGGGATTCTTAGGAGTTGTTGGTGGGTTTAAAAGGCTGACCTTTTAGTTAAAAGTCTGGTGCTTACCCTACAACACCACACTAGGACTCTGGAATATAATTGTTGTGGTTGTTATGTGCTCTCAAGTCAGTTCTGATTCATGATGACACTGTACAAGGTTTCCAAGGAGCAGCTGATGGATTTGAACCACCAACCTTGTGGTTAGCAGTGCAGTGCTGATCCTACAATGCCACACAAGGACTGATTAGTATTATGCAAATAACATAAATAAGATAAGAAAATGGGAAAACATCAAAATTTTTATATGTTGCTCTTAAAATATGCACTCATATACACACACATAATAAATAAACTCTTCTAGTTTATTATATATTCCATGTTTTCTACAATGCATACACATTTCTGATCATTATTTTTCTTTGTTCCATATAATGTTTCACAAAGGATTTGGAAGGGGGAACTTAAAATAACTATGTAATAATATACAAATGTCCAGCTCATCATTCTTGATGTTTTTAAGTGCCTTCAAATTGGTTTTGACTCATAGTGACCATTTTATAGTGTTTCCTAGGAGCTTCCAGTGGATTCGAGGAGAGGCTAGTGGGTTTGAACCCCCAACCTTGTGGTTAGTAGTTTATTGCTTATCCTGAAGCGCCATACCAGCTTTCCCAATACATCAGTGGTGGTGGTAATTATGTGCCATGGAGTCAATTCCTACTCATAGAGTCTCTGTACTGGGTTTCTGAGGCTGTAAATCTTTAAGGGAGATGAACGGCAATACAAGGTGAGCTACAGCAAGTGCGACTCTATAAGATGAATGTGATTGGATTGGCTGTCAGAGACAGGTGACTTTGGCCCTGCCTCTCCCAAGCCCACAGGGAGCTGTCAGGCCAACTCTGCTCTATCACAAGAAAGATGTTGATCATTATGAAAATTCTAGAAATGTGGGGTTCATCCACAAAACAAATGAAAATGGTGGAACTGGATTTGTGGGGCCTTTGACTTGTGGTGATGTCATGAAATTACAGATCCAAGTGGATGTCAAGGAGAAGATGGTGTACACCCATTTTCAAACATCTGGCTGTGGTTCTGTGATCAAGTCCAACTTGTTAGCCACTGAGTGGGTGAAAAGGAAAACAGTTGAGGAAGTCTTGGCCATCAAAAACACAGGCATCGCCAAGGAGCTCTGTCTGTTCCCGGTGAAGTTGCACTGCTCCCTGCTGGCTGAGGGTGCCATCAAGACCTCCCTGGCTGATTACAAACTGAAACAAGAGCCCAAGAAGGGCAAGGCACAGAAGAAATGAGGCTGTGGCAGAAGTTCCAGGACATCCCATCAGCTGCCCCACCACCCCCACCTGCTGTGCCTCACCTTGGTGCTCAGACATCTCTCACATTGCAATAAAAGAACTATGAGATTTTTGCACTGTCTATAACCTGTGCCTCTGATGTAGGTGAAATACACAGTTTAATGTTTTTGGATCCTGTGTGTTCTTTCAGGCCACTTTTATGACCCTTTAACTGAATCAAATGTCTATTTTTTATTGTGTGTGTCTATCAATAATAGTGTCACACGTGGTCGATTGCATGCTGAGTGCATAAAATCATCTACTTTTATCTGAATCTATTTTTGGAAGATTACCAATAGAATGCTTTTGGTATGATTATTTGATAGAACTAGTAATTATACACACACACACACACACACACACACACACATATATATATATATGCATGTAAGATGATGTTTTCTTCTAATAAAATAAAATGGTGAAATACAAAGACATGAGTTGCTTGGTGGCATGTGGCGTATAATATTTGTATTTTTACATTTAAATCACAATATTGTAAGAAAAGTTTTTGACCAATTGAATCATGTTGCAGTTAGGAAGGAAAGCATATGAAAATGTATGGCATAGATTTAGTAGAAACAAAAAATCATGTCTCTAAGTTTTGGTGGATGCAGAATGAAGAGAAGTATGTGCACTTAGTTAACTGAGCCACACGTGTAAATGTATGACAAATGACGGTAATCCATAAATTAGCCTCGTCTTTCCAGTTTATATAAATTAAACTGGTAACTTAAAGACTCTCTTTCTCCACAAAAAAAGATAGAAAAAATTCATCTTTGGATTTAATTGGTCAAACCCAGAGTATTATATTACCAGGCCACTGGATTCAGCAGTCTATCCTATAGAGTAGAGTTAATGACAACTTACTTTTCATGTCTTAGAGGTTACCAGAGTAACCCATTCTCTTGAAACATGACCATCCAGTGTATTAAAGGTTAATATTTTGATGAGTTGGCTTTTCTGATGGATTTTTATAGTAAATGTCTATGTATCTACATTATAGATCATTAACTTTCTCATACTAAACTACATCAGACCTTTTACCTAAATGTCAGGGGGGAAAATCATTGAAAATGATACATTGGCACACTTTCTTTAGTGAGTTTTAAAACCTCAGTTGAACTCCCTGCATAATATAAATGCAATCCTCCCCTTATTCATTTGCAAAGCTGTAGCATTGCAAATTCAATTCCTATAAAATATAAGTGTGGTTTTTCTTTACATTTTCTAATTAATATCTATACTATCCACTTGAATACATGTACAATTTGAATAGACATATATATTTCTTTAGTTTACACACCCAGGGTTGGTGGCAGGTCCAGTAGCTGAAAATGGAAGAATCGCTGATTAATGGGAAATTTGAATATCAAGAGATGAATAAAAATTTATTATCTTAAAAATAGATACATTACTCATCATATTGATAAATTGAACCCATCTGGTATCACATGGTGGTAAAACAGAAATCTTTTATGAGTGGGTTTCTAAAAGTAAAATTTAGACATACTGGAGTTTTTCTTTTCTTAACTTTTATTATGAATTAAGTGAAGATTTATAGAAATAATCATCAGTTTTATATTAAAAAATCATATACATTGTTTCATCTCAATGATTGCAATCCCATCCATGTAAAAACAGCTATTGAATTTCTACGCTATTGACAGGTAAAAGTCAATAAGAATTTTGTTGTTATTTAGAAGGTACTGTTGATATATTTGTAACGGTTAGGATTCTGTGATAAGACCAGAATTTCCAGAGATTTAGCAGTTGGGATGTGCTTATTCCCATGGTGATGAAACCTAATACAGACAGAGTTAGCTCTGTGGTGAGTGGTTATGAGTTAATTGAAGGGATACTTCCTTGAGCGTGTGGCCTGCTCACAATATAATGGACATGTAGAAGGGACTCCTCTCCTGCTGGGGAACTGGGGCTCTACAATTGTCAGATAATGAACTTCTCTTTGTATATACACATATATATGTTTCACTGGTTTTGTTTCTCTAGAAAACCCTCTCTAAGACAAGTGGTATGGAATGAGTAGGGTTCTAGAGAAACAAACTCATAAGGATAAGTTTTCTAAATTTGTTCTCAAATTTGACTAATTTTAAAGGCACTGATATAGAGTGGAGGCATGTCTGACCTCCACTTCATAGGAATCAGCCTTGGGCTGATTCTGAATTTGGTCCTCTTTCCCTCTTGTGGAGTCAGATAAAGTCACAGATGGTCCTTGCTTCAATTAAGCAGTTGTCGCTGTGAGGCTCCAGACCTATAAAATTATGAAGTTTTGTAAGAGAAAGAACAAAGGGGCATGAGATAAAATATTTCAGCAGAGAGGAGAGTAACAGTTTCTGTAGCTGCCTGGAGCTGATAACATGATGGTTAAAAAGGACATCTGAAACCATATGCATATTAATGGGTTAGTCCAAGAGAGAAGAAATGATTGAACTTGATTGTTTCAAAAGTTGTATATGTTTGATGATCTTATGGATGTTAGTTTCTCCTACCTATTATTGTAAAATAGACATACATGTGTGATAGGAATTTTTGGAATTATGAAGTCAGAGAGCTTGTAAATGCACCTTCAGCAGATACTTGATTGGATTTGCTAAAAGAGGAGTTAGAATTTTCCCAGAAAAAAAAAAAAATAGGCTTCTTAGCTTAAACCTTTGTAGAGTTTGGGGCTTTAGTGGACTCCTGAAGCCTACCTAGAGCCTTCAGAGTCAATACATTTGCATTTTAAAAGACATGCAGATCAACCCAGAACTGCTGGGAGAACAGCAGATCTAAGCAGAGGAAAGAAAGCCAACAGTTTGGAGTTTTGAGTATTGGAGGATTCAAGGCAAGGAAAGCCAACCTTTCTAGGAATGAAAGTTAAAGGGAACCAGTGATGCATATGTTCACTGACGACCACCTGGGTCTATGTGTAAGTAGAGTTGGGTAAATACAGCAATTAAGACACAGACTGAGTTTGGACCATGTTCCACTGGCACTTGTTCTCCTTGAGATAAGAGTAGAGGGAAGGCTGTCCGTCTGAAATTAAGTAGTTGTATGAACTCCTGAGAACCATGAACACTGACCTTAACCCATGGGAACTGGGGCTGAAAGTGAGGGTGCCAGCTGGCATGATGTGCAGGGAGGTATGTGTGAACTCTAAAACTTGCAGCTGACATTTGACATCATTTGGATAACTAAAGTTGAGCTGACCAGAACCTAACTGGATGAAGATCTTTATCAGAATGGAAGATTCTTCAGATCAAGGAACATACTTGTCTCCTCAGTTGACTGGGTTGATGTTTTGCTGTCATTGTGTTGTTGAGTTGTTTCTGACTCATAGCGACCCTAAGTTTGAATTGCCAACCTGGGGTTCAATCTGACTTTGCGGTCCAGTGCTTTGTCCCACAGCCCCACACATGGGTAATTTAGATGTTAGCTGTTAAAAATGGGGGGACTATAAAGGCATGAAGTGACTGGTTCATAAACTTTCATGTATCTGCTTAGTTTTAGAATGAGGGGACAAAAAAGAATCCCCACTGACTATTTTCCTCTTTTCCATATGCTTCTAGTGAAAGGGGAATGGGGGTGGGTGGGTGAAAGATGATGCTGATAGGATTTTATGATTTTAATTGTGAGTAATTGTTAGTAGTATTAATTGTGATGGTCAAATCTGTAACTGCAGAAAATATGTAACCAAAAGGAGGGAGTAGTTTTCTTTCACTTCAGGAACAGATGATCCCAGGACCATCATTAAGGAAGAGCTTAACTGGAACTTTGGAACCTTGCCTGGGAAAGCAGCAATAGCAGAGATGGCAGCAGAGGCAGTGGCAGGAAAGACAGAGCAACTATGGACTCTAGGACGATGGGTTAAGTAGGGCTGTATGCCTATGGAGGCTAGCTTACAGAATGTGCCCTTTGGACATTTAAATGAATATATATTTTTTGTTTTGTTTTGTATATGTGCATCAAATATTTTTGCTTTGTTCGCTTATGACATATAAGATGTAAATGGAGCCAGTAAAGTTTTGTTATATCATATTGTTGTTGTTGTTGTTAGGTGTCATCACGTCAATACTGAAGCATAGTGACCTTATGCTCAGCAGAATGAAACACAGCCCGATCCTGGGCCAACCTCACTACTGTTGCCACACTTGAGTTCATCGATGCTACCACTTGGCCAATCCTTCTCATTGGGTTTTTTCCTCTTTTTCTCTGATCCTCCACCTTACCAAACATGATATTCTTCTCCAGTGACTGGTCCCTCCTGACAATATGTCCTATTAGGTTTTATCATATTAGGTTCCAAATATAGCTTTAACATTTTCCTTTATTTAGAGATTATGCTTTTAGTTTGGAGTCCTGATGTGGCACTGTGGAATAATGCACTGGACCATATAGGTTGTGAAAAAAACTGTCAAATGTATCTGCCAATTAATTTCCAATATGTACTTCTCTCACCTGACCTAGACAGAATTTGTTCAGGCTGCCTGAGAAAAACCTCAGGCAATTCTTTGAAAGTATTTGCAGTGAAAAACCATTGAATCTGTACACATTTAAATAGCACTTGCTATTGAGAGCTTGTGTAACCCAGTGTCTGCTAAAGTTAAATTAACCACATTAAGTTCATTGACTCTAATCTGTCAGATTCTTTGAAGTTCTAGTTAGTCTTCATTTCTAAAAATAAATAAATAAAAATTTAGAACCATACCGTTACTGGAAAAAGCTAGAGATCCCTTCTACTGAATCTGGACACCAGGTATTAACTTGGTTGTTTGTTAAGTAGACTAGTCACACCTTCATCCCTTAGGGGATTGAGCTCCTATCACCTTGTTGTCTGGCTTTAGTTCAGTTGCCTTTTCAATGTTATCTTTAAGGCAAAAGGTCACAAGAAACATTCCTATGAATTCAGTGGTTTCCACACTACTCTCCCCTGCCCTACTTTATAGCAGCAGTTGTAT